ACTACCATAGCGCTCAGTCAGCTAGCTCTTCAGGCACCCAGTACGCGTGCAATGGACGGGGGAAATGCTTCGTGCAGTCCCTCTACGTAGTTTCTCCTTCACCTGTCCACTTGAAATCGTGACACGAGCACGAATAGGAATTTAATATATATATTGTGATATTCTGGTTGCTTCAAGCTGTTCAACGCGTTTCTGGGCCTACATGAGCATGTCGGAGCATACATAGCATTGCCAGACCAAACAGGCGTTGCCACGCCATTCGTGTCGAAGGCCGTCAGTTCTTGGCAACGCACCACTACGAAGAGCTGACGTGTAGAAAGTAGACTTTGCAGAAGCTGCTATTTTTTGACTGGCAACAACTGCTTTGCTTCACACTGAAGTGCCAAAAAATGGCGGGCGATCGAGCTCCACCTTCAAGTGTAGATTGCGATAGCGTAATCAGGCCTCTTGTGCATCCCTTTCTTGACTGCTAGCCGGCGTACGTTCAGATGCCGATGCCTTATGATGAGGAGGGTCGCTCTGTGGCGTTGTGCTCTGAGAATCGCGAGGTCGCTGGTTGGACAACCCACTCCAAAACGTTTTTTTTCTTCTCTGTTTTTTTCTTTGCAATCGTGTCATTAGATATTTCAGAACGTCATATCCGTGACGGAGATATGTCACGGAGCCGCGGTGGACCCCGGCATAAAACACTTTCATGTTAAAAGAACTATACAGTGACGGCGTCTGCGCTTACAGTACAACCTAGGCGATTGAGTAGGGTGGTTAGGTACATACTGCAATACTTCATGCACATATTATTCAGATGTAGGTTCTTTGACAGTCGTTACCATAGAGGGGTTTAATGAATATTTGGTGCGTCGTGTTTGAATTCGAACGTTGTACTCAATAAAATCCAGACGAAACAAAGGCTTCAAAATTTATTCAGATGGGTTGTGTAACTTGGCGTTTTACCACAATCAAAAAGCAGCAAAAAAAAAAAACGACAATGAGTCACCTTGCTTCACAGGCCGATGCCGTGGTTGCGATTTTTAACAAATCCTGGCTGTTGCATGATATTGAAAAAGGAGTGCATGGTATGAAATATTTTTGAAGTTGTTACTACATGGTGCAATGACTAAAACCAATGGCCTAACTACATACACGTAATCTGTGCTGGAATTAATGCAGTTGGTCTTTATATAAATGACACGTGTCACACTATGACATGTCATCTTACAGATTATTGATATATTTTTTTGCGTTACAGCATTCAGTAAATTTTTTTACCTGGTTGATGTACCTCCATGGTTTAAGTAGTCGACACTCTTTCGTAGGGAGACTACCCTTCCTACCCACCTCCCATTTGCTTAAGATGATTATTCATGATGTGTGCCTGCCACATTATTCCTCTTCAATCTGGGATTCTGAATATTGTACACTTATGAACACTCTAAAAGGCGTCCAGAATCACTCAGCCAGTGTTATTGTTAACAATTACTCTCGTACTGCCACTGTCGATTTAACAAAAAAACGGTCTATCCACCCTGACCTTTCTGACAGAGAAAGCAGGCCCACGTAAGCCTCTTTCAAAAACTAATCTTACGAAGCCTGAAATGAAACACACATTTGTTCTCGCCCACTTCTAATGTTTCATATCGCGGGGACGATAAGTCCAATTCCTATTCAACCATACCAGCATGTACTTCGACTACTACAGGTCGAAGAGTTCATCTGAATGAAATCACTTCCCTTCCTCCATCGCCAGCAACCCTGACCACGCATCATTAAAGGACGCCATCTTGAACTTTCACCACTTTTCTCTCCAATATCAGTAAAATGTAAGTTGCTTGTTGGTTGATTTGAATAATTACTTTTGATTTGATCAAACAATCTCGAACTTGTTGTATATTGGAAACATTAGCACAGCATCTTTTCTTTTTTTTCTTTACCCTGCTGTGCCAGGATATCCCTATAGCTGTTCTTTTTTCGGACTTTCAACTAGCCTTTGGCTATATGTCCAACAAGTGCGTTATCTGTACATAGATTATGAAATAAATATTACACTCTAAAGCTCTAAAAAAGCTATATAACTTAGGTAAATGCATGTGAACTTCAGCTTCCACTTTCCATCTTCCTGGTTTTGCTGTTTCTGCCAGTCCACTAAGCTCACGTGCAACCTGCCAGCTTGAGGGATTTCACGTGCCATCATTCATTCGCACCAAGGAAAAATTTGCAGTGGGGCACGTGCTTTGGCTGAGAAGTCCTCATTTACGAGAAAATCTGCGTGCGACGTTGCAGCAAAAGAAAAAAAAATTGCCATAACTCGAATGGTGGTGACGGACGAACATCATTTTAAACTTAATGAAGAATTGCGCGGCAACTGCGATTTACTTTGTCATTACCGTCAGCTTCATCGTATGAAATTTTTCGTTCGATGCGTAGTCACTAAGCCCGAGAGATGCGTTATACTACAAAACCCTCGCATCACTGCTCTAATCACCAACAACTATTACAACAGTAACCTTTGGTGGTGAGAATAATCAGGATATTATACTAAGGATAGTATAGAGAACATGATGTAAATGTGAAAAAAAAAATAAAGTGAACCAATAATGCCCTATCAACACATCTCAATGGTAGAGCATCAGACGCATTCTTCGAAGGTCGCAGATTCTATTCCGGCGTTTCTTCACATTTATCTCGTAATAACTTAAAATTGAAGCCTCAACATCGCTGTCTGTTACATCACATTAACCTTGTGTCTTACAAAGATAAACAAATAGCTCTTAAATTTCAACTTCACTCCTTAATTCACAGCGCGGGTTTTTTTTTTTTTTTTGCAGATGAAAGTGTTGATATAAGGGCTCGTTTTTCTGTTAGACACAGCACTAATGAGAAATAATGTTATGTTATGAGAAATAATGTTATGTTGAGAACCCTCAAGCGAGGGTTGACAGTATTATTAAATAAATAAAAATAAATAATAGCCAGTAATGCCAGTGAAAGTATAGGGGATGTTATGAGAAGTAATTGTAATGTAAATGTGACGAATGAAAAACCGGCAGGCCTGCGCTGAACGCGCAGCACGGCCACAGCGAAAGCTAGAAGAGTGGGCTTTAAGAGCCTTTTTTTAACACTCTTTTGTAGCTACTGCAAGTACACTTGCAGGGTACCCACTATGCAGTTATTAATTAAGTAGTAGGCAGGCATTTACAATGCTATCTTTTGTCATTCTTCGTAGAAGCGTAGAAGCGTAGAACCTGCTGCACATGTTCAAGGAACTGTGAAATTTTTGTGTGCTGTGGGGAACGACGATGAAGAATTTTGCCAGAAGTTTTTTGTAATCCACAAAATCTTCCACTATGGGTACGCGCCACCGTTAATGGGTGAACAAGATCAAGTTTTTGTAAAGAGTTGGAGCATTCGACGGTCCAGTCGATGCTCAATTCACGTTATCTGACACCTGGTTGTTCCTTTGCTGTTGTATAACGCTTTATCACTCATATTAACGCGATTACTTTCCCGACATCAAACCTGCCTAAGGCAAGTTTGCTAACGAGTCCCAAACACCGGCGTGGCTCAGCGATATAATACTACGCTCGGACACAGTCGACACAGGTTCTAATCCTACTATATCCTTGATGCTTTTTGTTTAAGTTTTTTTTTCTATTTTGTGCGATGGTAATTACGGACACCAGCGGCGATGGCGGACAACTACGGAGCCACGCGTGACCCGTGTTGTGATCTCATAACGGCTTTCGCTGTGAAAGTGAACGAAAAGACAGTAAAATGGCCAGTGTTCACAATTTACCGAATCTAACCATCACGCGTGAAACCGCGCCTCCAACCCTTTAGCGTGATCCACGAAATGGGGTTAAAAGATCGATTAGGCGAAAAGGAACGTTATATATCCGACAAACCGACTGGGCCTCACTTCAAATGTCGTCTACGCTTGAGGTCAAAGGCACACTAGATGTCGGCGTTCAGCGACGCGCGATAAATGCACAAAATGCAGCAGCCGTTATTGTGGTATCACCGCGGGCGCCTATAAGACGCCATGTTGAAGGAACGCCGGGTGAGTGCCGGTATGGTGGCCCTGAAGTAGACGATACACGCAGCCGGGTGCCGAGAAAGGACCAAGGGCCACTGTTTATAATTAAAATATACACATTAGCATGGCGCCCCCTGGAGGCGAATTGATATGTATTGAAACAAGAACCGAAATCACATAACAGTTATGACGCTTGCGACGGTGACGACAGCACAAAAAAGGCGCTACTAATGCACCGGCTGACATCCAACGTGCAGTTGCGAGCACAGACGTTTGGTGCACGAGCAGTGAAAAGAACGCTTGCACGCGCTACTGTCCGCGATACACCAGCTTCTTTTTTTTTGACGTGGTCTTCAGCGCTTTAACTCGTTGTATAAAAACCAAATACGATGCAAATCCGTGGTAGTGCACCATCTATGGGTGCGCTGTCCATGTCGGGGCGTGCAATGGTACGCGATGCCCATTTAAAAACCAGCTCACTTCTCGACATGCATATCCTCTATCTTGCGACTCCACTTAATACACGGCTGAGGAGAAGCGACGGCCGAGTCTTGCTCTGCGAGGGTCACCCATGTTTCACCATTATTGCGATCAGCGGACAAGGGTGAGAAAACAAACGGAGCTCGCTCGACGAGAGGTCACCATCACCGGCGAGCACGAAACGCACGGCGGCGAATAATAACGGACTGAAGACGAAAGCACCCACTAAGTATGGATCCTCGCTACGGAGTGCACCCCCTCGGGAGAAGATCGCTCCTTTTGCTTCCTTCACGCTTCAGTTTAAGTTCCTAATAACAGAAAAGGAGAGTAAAGATGTCGGCGATCGCGTCGGCAGTGTCCCCTGGAAAGACGCCGAGGTGGCACCGGCAGCCGGCGTGTGACTAGCTGCCAACAAATTCCTGTGCCATGGCCCACTTTTTTCAAGAACTACAGCAGCATGACGTTCAGTAAGTTCGGCCGCCGTGCTTACCTTCGAGGAGCCTCTGTAGCATGCTGTCTATGTTCAGTCGCTCGGGCTGGTCGGCCATCTTTCCGAGAACAAACGGTCCGGCGTTTCGTAGCCACCACTTTCCCCACAGACGACGATGGTCGCACGTCCCTGAAGCGGCTGAAGCAACTGAACTCGACCACGGCGAACGCGCACTGATGACGTTGTCAGCACGGGCACGTGGCTCACGTGGATGCCGTAAAGCACCTCAATATAATGATGATGATGATGATGACCTCATATGGATGGCACTCACCCACTAAGGCGGATGAGCCAAGAACAGGGTGACAGGATACCTAATCTAGTTATACTAAAACTCATCTCAAACATTTGTTTAGAGATCAAACTAGGAATAAATAAATATGTTTGCTGAGCAAGTGGCCAAAGCATCTCTTTTTTTCTGCTACGAATAATTGCATATCATTAACAACGAATCAGAAAAATAAGGAAAAACTAACGTGCTAATCTTTTGGTTGCCTTTATGTAGCCAATAACAGTATAGCGTACATCCCTGCGGCCCCGCCGCGGTGGTCTAGTGGCTAAGGTACTCGGCTACTGACCCGCAGGCCGTGGAATCGAATCCCGGCTGTGGCGGCTGCATTTCCGATGGAGGCGGAAATGTTGTAGGCCTGTGTGCTCAGATTTGGGTGCACGTTAAAGAACCTCAGGTGGTCGAAATCTCCGGAGCCCTCCACTACGGCGTCTCTCATAATCATATCGTGGTTTCGGAACGTTAAACCCCCAAAATCAATCATATCAAACATCCCTGCGGCAGTAAGCTAACGAAGTGCCGCCAAGCGGTAAAGGTACTGTAACATTTACTACGATTCCTATCTTCTGCAACTGGGTGTTTAAAAATCATTTTCTTTGACAAGAATAATGATGATCGAATAAAATATTTGTTCAATCGTTTCAATTTTGTTGCAAAAATGCACAGCATGGACCAGCTGTGCTTAAATAATAATTTATTTATGGAACTGCACAACGCAATATGGTATAAGCAACTTTTAACTGGCGAGATACACACCCCTGTTTATTCCAGCAATGCCTTAAATGCTCGAAATGTCCAAATTATTCAATGATAAGTTACCTATTTCCCATCGGAAACAAGCATTTCTGAACTTTGACGCTGTCATGTAGGCCGTATTTGGTAAAACTGAGATGATGGGTTCACTCAGGGATACTGCCACAAGAGTCCACCATTTCGTTCAAATGTAATCCGCGGTGGCTTGGTACTCATAGCAAATGCAGTTTTTTGTACGTTTTTCGGTATTACATGACGAAACGTATTGATCAGTTGTACATTTTCTGCCGCAGAAAGTGCAGCACATACTGAGAGTGAATCTGTGATGATCACTGCTGCTGACGCACTTAGAGAATTTTTTTATAAGGCTAGAACGATAGCCAATAATTTTGCAATGAGTACAGGGGTGTAATCTGGTAGTCGTATCGAAAAGGGCCAGTAAAGAGAAGGAGAAAACATGTCAACCCCCACCTTTTCAATAAATATAATTTCTCAATATAATTTTATTTAGGGGTTTCGTTATTGATGATGATGATGTTGATGATGATGATGGCCTACACGCGTGGCTCACTCCCACTCAGTGAGATCCGCCAATAAGCGTATGACTTGATAAAAGTGATCGTATATGAATTGTACAACTAATGAAATATAGAATAGTAATAAATTATTGGTGCTGTTTTAATCATAACTAAGAGACAACGATGCCAAGAAAATAATAGAAAATGCTAATAGAAGTAACTGTGACATAACTGTGAAGAAAAGTAGACGAAAGAATACCTTGCAAACGACACGGTCCGAACCTGCAACCTTCGAATAACGCGTCCGATGCCTGGACGTGTTATTCAAGATGTTCAGATGATAGCTTGGAGTTTAGAGATTTGAGTTGACAACCACCCCCATGCAGCTAAACAAAATGTTCTACTGGGCGATCACGATCTCGGCGACAATGATCTGACTTCCAAGAATAGAATAATGAAGAAAAAGAAATCCAATCTAATTCGGTCAAGCCCCCTTTGATAATATCTTCCCTCAGTGAATTGAAGCAGTTGTATGATAAAACAAAATATTTCTGGGATGTTTTGTTCTTCTTACAGAACGAGCGAAGAGGGGAAGGAGCGAGCCTAGCTTTGTGCATATAAAGTCAAAGCTAGTTCATTCGGATTACATGGTACCTGAAAAAAATGGCCACATTAAGCAAGTCCCAAATGATATAAATTATCAGAAAATTTATAAACAAATGCCTATTACGGCACTAGAATGTCACTCTCTTAATAAATACTTGAATTCTGTACTAATTACTTCTCCTAACAGCACCGTAAAAGCCACAATTTAGTCACTCGTGACTTACTTCATATTGTGACCGCTTTTGAAGACCTCCCCGTGTTAAGCAGCCCACAGGACACTAACCTGACATTATCCCAGAATGTTGTTACCGGTGTTACTGTAAGGCAGTCAGTGGTACATTAACAGCAGAAATTAACAGGGTTGCAGTTGGTTACCAAAGTAAAAAGTGTTACAGTTGAATTTTTTCAAAGGTAACCTGCTAAAATTACAGCTACTGTAGAAAGTAACATCAATACTTTTCCATAACTGTAAGAAGAAGTAAGTAGGAAGGCATGCGGGCGTAGTCGAAAGTGCACGTGGGTAAGCCCTGGATGTAGAAAACTTAAAAGAGGGCCCTTACACAAGCACTCGTGTACGCCTGGTTTTCATGCATCCATAAACGTCCCAGGATACTAGGAATGTGAAACAAGGCTAATGCACTGGAACGACGGCACTATTATGGGACGTCTGTTAATAATACCCAGTAGTGCTTGCGAAGAGGAAGGAGAAGTGCGTGACTTATCAAGATGACGTTCATCGCATCTATTCACTGTGAAACTAGGAGTTTCATCAGCAAGTGTACAGAAGGCAGTGTAAGTGAAATGGTAACAAGGACCGTTAGGTGACATGTCATAGAGTCGAAAATAGGTAACGTATAGCATCGATGGAAAGACAAGTGGGTGCGTGCAGCTACAGCGTGTGGACTAGGGCACTAACCTACAGGAAGCTTAGGGCTTTAGGGTCAACACAGGAAAGGTAAATCGCTTGGCGATTATAGTAAATCGCTATTGAGGGATTGGAAGTCATGCAGTAGGAAAAAAATAAAGAAAAAGAGCAAGAAAACTAAGGTCAGTCTGCGATAAGGTGCACTAATTTGGACCGTGCATCTATCAAGTTTCCTTATAGGATAACAACCTGAATTCAGCTAGAAAATATTAGGCCTTTATGTAATATAAAGATGCCAGCAAAATCTTGAGTTTGCCTAAGCGTTGGTCACCACCCTATAATGAAAGGGCCATTTTTTCATCGATTCATCTATATGCTGCCATCAAAAAAACCCATACGGTTATGCATTCACCTAAGAGAACTGGGAAAGTGAGAGCCATTTTCGTTTTTCTCTCATTCGATTGCATTGATGCACCCATACTCGAAAGAATTCTGCACTAGTGTGGCTTTGTACAGCCGTAGTGATGGGAGACGTCACAGGTATTCTGCACCTCACGTGCCTCCGGATTCCGCTCTGATATGACAGTGTCTTATGATGAAGCCGTCGTTTAGCACCACATTCTGATGTCCCCGTTTCGTGATCTGTGACTTAATGATGACATCATAGTGTCACATCGCTATGTCATAATTTTTCGCATCAGTCGCGTTGACGCCAGTGTACAGTTTTCGTGCTTGAGGAGACATATAAAGTTTTTGTCTTAGTAACTGGAACGAACTGCCGTCGTACAACTTAAACACCCCTCCACGCAACCACCCAACGGGGGCGACGGAGGATAAAAAAGGCAGATCCAATGTACCTTGACAATCGACGTTATGGGAAACATGCGGATGAAAGGAAGTTTGCTACATGCACTGTGCGCCATACCACCATGTACTAGTGTAGGCTGAAATGTTTCATTATCACGAGATGGTAGTTACGTGCACACACATCGTGAATACGCGTACATATCTGTGACGTATCTGTGACGTCGATGTGTTGATTGGTCACGAACATTCATCCAGGTGGCTGTTGGCACCTATATAACTTGGGCCAAACACAGAAATGTCAGCACTATCATCAGAAGTATAGTTGTTCCTATAACGGCCCTTTAGTTCAGTGATTAGGGCCGGATGTACACTGAAGTATGTCGTATAGCTTAGTTGCTTGAAATTGTCTGATGTCTGTTATGAAGAAGTGGTCAATGACGCCTCCAATTCTCGCCGTAGGCACGAGATCTTGGGATGCTCTGTCTACATATAAATCGTCTTTCATGTATTGTGTGAACCAGGTCCGGCTGTGTTTGAAAACATCTTTATTAAAGTCACGAGCAACAATGAAAAGTGGGAAGCTAGTATGTAGCCATTGTGCAAGCGAGGGTGACGGTCCTGGACACTGCTAGACAAATTAGCTTCATTGGAAGGTGCTTCTCTACACTTGTCGTTACCTCGACGTGACGGCTGTATGATAAAGTACGCATGTACTGTTTATAAGATTGGATGGCTGGCAGTGCAACCACAATTGACATTTCAGAAGCATTACGGTCTATTTGAAAACCAGTTACGAGACCTAGCGTGGCCCTTTGGTAAAATACTTCATTGCCACGCAGAATGTGGGACTCGATTACTGTTGCAACAGTGATATTTATTCTCTGCGTTCTTTGGGTTGAAGCTGCCGATGCCAGATTTTAGGGGCGATGCTTTTTAGGGTCGACCTATTTGGCACCCATAACGCCCCACAGAACACAAACCGTAGCTGAGGTGCTATTCTGGACATTGTCGAATTCCGCCACGTTGTCAGATTCTGCCATTGATTGATGATAAATGGCCAAGTGAGCTGCTGCGACCTTTCGGATTGGCCTAAAACACCGTCATAATGAAATTTGACAGTATGGGGGAATTACAGTGTACAGAACAGCACCCCTGAACACCCGCACAACGGAAAATGGACAGATACCACGTACAGTGTGAATCGATGATATACGAAGCAC